CGTATACTGTATCCACCACAAAAAAGGTAATATTGGCGTCAAATTAATAAGAGTCCGAACATCTGTGTATAACCTGGGTTTTTAGTATTGGGAATGTAATAGAAAACATTATGAAGCGAAACACTGCCAAAATAATTCTACTTGTGACAGAGTACGTGTGTCAAATACACCAAATTATTTATATTATGATTTATTTTTGAAAGTGTTAACGTTCTTCATTAATTTATTTTTCAGATTCTATAAAAAAAAAAGTTTTCGTCTTTGTCAACAGAGGGCGATGTTTGGATTTTTATGACCGAGGAGCTGAGAGAGAGAAAAGACAACAAAGTCCCGTGATTTGTCACATCATACAGCTCAGAAGCAATGGGACTTCAAACTACTTTTAAATTATTTATTATATTAGTGTTACTTGGAATATCAAGTAATGTCAAGGTAAAAAATAGATTAGTCTCAGATTCAGATTCATTACCCTTTGATATTAGAATTTATCTCATGGTGGAGCCTAAGCACCGGCTAGTAGTAGGGGCCTAAAAGGTAAGCCCATCTCAGCTTAGGCGGTCGTACACCGCCAAGGACTGGCCCCCTGTGTGTTGGCCTAGGATAGGTATCGTAGGTAGGCCAGAAACAACCGGGTTAGGATAAAATATTACAATTAATTTTTTTTTTTATTCAGGTTAGTAATTCTAACGACATGCTGTAGTAGTGCATTAGTATTTCAATATTTTCACAAAATTGCCTTCCATCAGCATTCCACTGCCTTTTTTATATATTATTATACTTCCTACTAGCCTTGGCTAGCCTAGGGCCAGGCGTAGTACTACTAGGCCTAAGCCAGATCTAACTAGGGGCCCACTACTACTACTAGGCTAGGCCTAGATTAATTAGTAAAAAACAGCGACCGCAAAAGAAGATTATAAGAGACTAGAGATGAATAAAACCAACTGTATATCATTGTTTATATTTATAAGTACCGTAGTTTAAGTCAAAATTTATTTGCTGCTTGTCTTCTTTTCTTTTTGTAAGGCGCATTATTGAGGCTTTTTGCGGAATGTGCTATAAAAGTATGGAATTATTATTAATTGTAAATAAACATTTATAAAGAAATGCTTCTGTCTTCATTGTGTTATTTATTCATTTTAACACTGTATACATTGTATTTAAAACCATGTTGCTCAAGGTGTTTCATTACATACTCCCTCTTAAGCGCAACAGCGCTTATTCGAGAGCGGCGCTTAGCGAAAAAAATCGAGTTTGGTGCAACACTTATTTGAGAGCAGCGATAATTTGAGGGCAGTGCTTATTTGAGCATTTACGGTAATACAGGAATATGGATTTTTAATTTCTGATGTGTAGGGCCTAAATTTAATTGCTCTCTCTATATAGTGAGAAAAATAAACACTGGCTGTACTAAGTACTACTGACAATATGGGCAATTTTTCAACAGGCTGTTAAAACTCTGTAGTGGTATAATTATATAGGCCTAAAATACAGTAAACTTAGACCCAGAATGACCCAGATCAAAATGACCAGAATTGAAATGACACCAGATAAATTTTGTGAAAATTTTAAATCATTCTTATTTATTTCAGGCGCAGTTTGAAGATGTACGGTGCAAATGTGTCTGTCCACCAAGCTTTCATTCCAATCACACAGTTGATGTTAAAGTTGTAAATGTTGAACCTGAAGATTGGTAAATTATTCTAATCATATATTTTTATGATGGGTCATACGTAGACTTAGGCCTAGAAAAAAACTTTCCACCCCACCCCCACCCTTCCCCTGCCAGAGGACACAATGAAATGATAAAAATATTGCACTGTTGGGGATAGACAAATAACATTGGGAGTTGCAGTGATGATGTCACAATTGACTTTCTCATTATGAGGCTTAGGAAATGAAGTTATTTTCAGTTGTGAGAAGAAATCCTGCAACACTGACAGGAATTTAACCCTGGGATTGGAAGGCAAGCATCTTAACCATCAAGCTATCCCACACACAGAGCCGGCTCTAGGATAAAATTTATGGGGGGGCTAAGATGTCCAACTGGGGAGAGGAGCTAAGTATTTATGGGTGTAACTATAGTGCGCAGCGTTATCTGAGGGCCGAAGGCCCGTGTCAGGGGTGGGTATAGGAGGGGATGTCCCCTCCTCCCAAAACAAATAAAAAAAAAAAAATTGGGACTTCTAGATGGCCGGAAAGAGCTGGGATGGGAAAACTAGGCCTATTTTTTGTTTTCTTTTGGTCCGACTGCCCGACGAGCTTTGGCCGATGGGGGGGCTTCCCTCCCCCCTCCTGGCGCCACCACTGCCCACACACCACCCTACACTGCGCATGAGCCTTGTTGTACATAGGACCAACAGCGTAAAAGTGTCTTCTGAAACATGCAATCTGCTCAGCTTGATGATTAACCAAAGATAACGAACTCCATGCTTCAGCACACACAGCATATTGTACGGTAGTGTATTATACTGTATGTGTTTAACTAGTGTTCTTCTGTTTTTTTTAGTACCTGTGTAAATATAATGCATAGAGACATTACAGATTGTGCAAGTTGCGAGTGCAAACATGAAAACAGAAACACCATAACGATAGAGGTATGTTAATGTTTTGTACCCTCAGATATTCTCTGCAAAACATCTGTGTTCAGTATACTGATAAATGTCAGTGGTAGCATTGAAGACTACAGCTACACCATATGATGAAATTATTATTATTATTTAAAATTTAATATTTTCCTTTCCTTTCTTTTATTCACATAAAAACCAATAGGGAAACAACACAAACAAAAACACAATTCCCACCGAAATCCTCATATTGATAAAATGAAGATCATGCCTTCTCCACAAGAAGAGAATGCATGATCTTCGATTTAAATGTAGCAAGATTATCCTGAAAGATATCAATATCATTACTATTTAGGTTAAAAATATATGGTAATCTATGAAAAATTCCTCACCTCGTACAATTGACATGGATAAACGGAACAAGCAGTAAATTTCTGTTATGTGTACAACCCGGGACATTGAAACTTAATAAAGAAATAAGTGAACAATCATAAACAGAATTTAAAACATAGAAAAATATCATATACCTGTAAAAGACTTTCCTGCGATTACTAATAGAATCAATCGAAATAGGAAAATTAGAACAAGTATGTAATAAAAATCTCAGAAACTTTCTTTGAACTACATCGATGCAATGGGCCTGACTTGGAGAAATTGAAGAAAAATTTACAGAACAATATTCAAGGTTAGAGCGAACGATTGTTTTGTACAACGACAAGAGTACCTGTACCATTATTCATTTTATTCTATATATATTAATGCTTGCGGTACACCACATATGTTGTTATGAAAAGAACTGATGTTTGTTGAGAATGTCTCAACATTTTGATTGAATATTTTAATCGTCTTCAGGAGAATAATATCTGCAGAGAATCTAATATTTATTCTCCCATGCAAAATACAAAAAAAAAAATCATATTTTGAAACTAACTTGCTCATTTTGAAGTAACATAAGAATTGTGAACTTGAAGAAATTAGTATATTTAATAATGTTTACTCATAATTTTACATTGGAAAATGATAAATACGCTTCTAGTCACTGGAAGTGTTTTATTATTTTAATTATCATTTATCCAGTATAAAGATTAGGGAACACATTTAAATTCAATACTTTCTGTGCTGAAGTTAATAATTTGTAAAATATCAATCCAGAAAAAATGTAAACACAACACACTAAAAACAAGAAAAGTACTAAAATTTATTTTTGTTTTGCTAATAAAATGGCAATCAAATAAATCAGTGCTTTGAAAGACACATTCACAGTTTTTCCTCTTTCGTGTGGGTTAACCACCTTTATTCATTTCAGTATTGTTTTTCATATTTTTCATTTTATAAGAATACAATATTTGCACCATGTCCCTGCGGACTTGCGTTCATCATTTACATTAAACAACTAATACAGATATTTGCAAATTTGTACAAGCCAATAACCAAGAATAACAACATGAATTGACCTACAGTATTATGTGACTATCATTGTTGCGCTTTTTTATTTATTTTTAAAAATTCTTTTTTTAAAAAATTTATTCACATTCACAGTTTTTGTCTATTTGTTTGCTGTTGATCTTATTAGCTTAATATAGATAATAAAACCAGTGAAAAAATTTCAAGTTGTCTTTAGAATTCTTAATCTGGCCAAAATAGCATTATTGGAATGAAAGACTCTTTTCAAAATATATTCATAAATATTCTTAACTTTAACGTTATGTCCATAATTTGATAGCTTTTCTATTTCATAAATCAAAATATATATATATATATATCCATACAGACGATGAATTGTCTTGTGGGAAGAACTTAATGGTTAGCATTATTGTTTTACTTGCAAGCTTTTAGAAAAGCCAGCAGTTTGTTTACTGGAAGAAGATTGGCCTATGCTACCTAGGCCTAATCAGTGGATTAAACTACTACACAACTTTGCTTCTTGGATGTTTATGTTTACCAGTAAAATTGACGGCCAAATCAGCAATGGAAGAACACGACAAATGCTTTTATATGTACTTGTAATTGTACTACTTTGCTTATAATTTATATATATATATAAAATATTTTGCTGATTGTCTGTTAGGTTGTGGTAATCTTCATCCTAGCGCTGTTAGGTGTACTGCTCGTCTACATGATAGTGCTGATAATAAATGACCCATCCATCCTCAAAACTGCACCAGACCAGCCTCAGTTTCACCTCTACCAGGTAAATCAAAAAGGGCCTTATTGGGCTAGGCTAGGGTTAAGCTAGGCCAGGCAAGGTACTGTACATGTAGGTTGGGCAAGTGAAGGCTAGCCCTAGGTAGAATACAAAATATGTGTACTGCATGCTGACACAATAAAAGCTACATGATTCCAGTTAGTAAAAGAATTTTTTTGGATTTGTTGTCTACTCCAGTTTTGTGATTCGATTCCTGCTTAATATAATATATAATATGATACTTTATTCATGTAATACCCCATAATTTTAGTAGAAAATTAGTTATTAATAAGACTTCCCAGAAGGTAGTGTGCCTCATTTCTGGCTTTTGATGAAACACATTATACAGTAATGGGGAGGGCCTAATCACCTTATTCATTTAACTTTCTCCAAGTCCAAGTAGCTTTACTGCATAGAAATCATCTACTGTACAGTATTCCAGAATCTAAATCTGCCCCTGTTAATGTGCCGTTGCTCTGGTGTGTAACTTAAATACATGAAACATATGATGCTGTAATGAAACTGATTCAATTAATTAAACATTATACTGTATAGAGCATTTGGGTTAAAGAGCACAAGCATAATCAACTCAAAATGTCTGAAATTCCAGGGGCAGCTTTATTTTCTGAAATAAAAAAAAACAAAAAAAAAAACATATTACTTGAATAGCAAATTACAACATAATTATTTCCCATAGGGTGCAAGGCCAAAAGAATCAACTGCCAGTTACTTAGAACGAATGGAATCAGCACAGAAGAGATGGAAGAGGCAGGTGAAGGAGCAACGCCAGAACATTTATCAAAGACACAACCTTCTCAGTTAACTTAACAATTAAATCAATTTCTATTAATTAATATTGCTGATTAATTTGGGTTTTTCTTTTCTTCTTTTTTTTGTTAGCCACCAGCTTAATGAAAATAAATGTTTTTTTCATGGGTTGGCTTTAAAGGTGTTAATTTAAAACAGCTTTACTCAAATATTTGGCTGACAACCAAAATTGACATCCTGCCATTTACTGTAGCTACGTCTTACTTCTCAGATGTTGGTCCACACTATAATGTTGCGAGTTTTGGGTGGGGGTTTAAAAAATCCATTTGGTTCACAAAAGAACTGCGGTTAAATGGGTAGAATTAGGGGTTTCAAAATATTTTTTAAATAAGTACTTTAAGATGTTTTCCACAAATGATCGAAAAACAGTAATCGGCAATTCCTACTCTGATTGGGCAACCTGTATTGCACAAGTTCTACTGTAAAATTCCAACTTATTTCTATACATACATACATATATATATATATATATATATATATATATATTTTCTGTATATCCATTAAAAAAGTCCCGACTTCCACATTCATGTAGTTAGAAATGACATAAGGAACTTGATAAGCAAAATAAAGTACCTCTAGCTTCTTCCTGTATCAGGAACACTCTTTGGAAGACTCCTGTCTGATACTTTACAAATTTAGCCCAATTCCTATGTAGTCTTGCAAGCAGTGATTCTATCGTACATTACAAGATCAATTGTAAATGCTTGCCCTATTAATTAATAGGGTATTCAATAAAAAACAAGAAAACATGTGCCATGTAAGTAAGTGTGGCAATAACCATATCTTTTCTAATTTATATTGCCAAAATATTTTATGATAACAGCACATCAACAAATAATGATAACTGTGCATCAGAAGGTTTTGTACAATTTTTGTATACAACTTTTTTTTTTCCGATTGACCAAATTTTGGGTCACAGCAAATGCAATAGCTTGAGAATTTTTTGATATGTTGTACAACTAATTTTTCTAAGACTCAAAAAGAGTGTTTGACAAAAAACTTGATAACGGTAAATGAGATACAGATTTTTGAATATTAAAAAAACTGGGAGAAAGGGGGCGTAACCACCCATAGTGCAACATCCTAGTCTTCAGGTAGTTATAAAACAAGAATAGATAATGCAGGGGGTTCTTAAGGTCTATTTTCCAATATTTGTTTTATATGATGAACATAATAAAAAGTTTTATATAGTAGGGGTTAAGTGTAGGAGAATAACCCATTGCTGTACTCACAGCTTCGTTGTGCTGAATTGCGTATGGGTGTGGTCTTGTCGTAAAGAAGTGCTTATACTGTAGTAGTTTCATGTTCACATCATTCTACAATTACAGGGGCTGAAATGTACTATAATTTCCAGTTTTTTGGACAATAAAGAAATCTGTATCTGTACTCATATCTCTCCCCCCCCCTAATTTTCCAAAAGATGCAATGGGTTTTTAAAGTGTACATGAGCCAGACATGTACACTGGACCTCCATTTTATACCCTTATCCAAGAAGACTTGGTTGTATTTCTGCCATGAGGAGTGGCTCAAACCAGCGTCGATGTGAAATGCTGTAGTTAGAGGCGCTGTTGCCTTATCGCTCAGCCACTCGACTAGAATCCTAACTGATGGCCCACTTTTGTTAAAAACAGAAAAATGTTTAATGTGTTAGTATGAGATTGGCATTTTCATAGGTCTAAACTGACATAAAATCCTTAAAATTGTCCTTAAAATTTGGTGTCTCATCTCTAACCATAGAGGGGCCGGGGGGATATGAGCTCTTATTCCTGTTTCCAGAGTGTTAAAAACATGACAACAGTGCAAGCCTAGTTGTGTGCAGCTTGATCAGCACCAGACTAGTTTCATTCCAAAATCATTTATATCAACATTCCCTAAACTAGGATATGCGTTCCAAATTCAAGATGCCCCAAAAACCACAAAGGGCCCTGACATTTTGAGAAGTTACCTTCTGTTTGATCTTATACTCAAGTTATTGAACCAATTAATAACAAAATATTGTAATGGAAACAGATTGTACATCATATTGCATTCTCTGCAACTTGCAAAATTTGCCAACTTATTTAAAGCAAAACATACTGATACTTCCCACTTATTGGACTATGATTTTGAACGTTTTGTTCTGATAATTGTGTTGACTTGAGAACTCAAATAATCTGGTCGCTTTCAGTGTTGACTCAAGTTGATATTTTGAAAAACGTCTGTTTTTGTATCTCATTGTACTTCGCACACGAAACACCGGAAGCCCAAAAAATTATGACTTGATCTAAAGACTATCCTAAATATATTTAATGCCATAATTTTGCACAAAAAATGTTTTGTCTTTTAAGGTTGAGCTTAAAATTTAACATTTTAAAAACGTTTCAAAGTTGCTGAGATGCGTATTGACTCTCACGTCTGTTCCAGTTGTGTTTTTTAAATAAATGTGTATACAATGTACGGTATTTCAGTGACGTTCAAAATGCTTATGGTGAAATTAGCTTAGTCTTTGGAATAGGGTATCCATCCAAGTGGTTGGTAGTAAATGGATTGGACACAGTTAAATATTTGAAATATTTATTAAATCCAGTTTAAAGGTTTGTGGAACGTTCATTGTTGTAATTATTGTTATTGCTATTATTGATAATAATATATTTTTTTTTATATACTATACTATATATATAAATATATATATTTATATTGTATATATATATATATATATGTATATATATATTTATTTATTATCGTTAATGTGTCTTTTGTACTAATGTGTAATGTATTATAGTTTCAATATTTTATCAGATTTTATCTTCATTCCAATGTGTGTCAATCCGAAACAAATGTCATGATTAGAAATGTATTTCCAAACTAAACATTTGATGGGCCTATACTGTATTGCAAATTATTTGAAACTTAGGTTATGAATTGAATTTTCAAGCGTATTTGGCATGAAACAACAATGTTTTCTTCATACTTTAAGTGCAATAGTAAGGTTTAAAAATAATCAAGAACATGATGTTTCTATGTATAAAAAATGATTAGTAATTACCTCATGTTCTTGGATCAGGTTAAATGTGAATTAGAAGTGAATTCTGCAGAAAGGCAACACCATTTATAAGCTAGTTTAATCCTACAATTGATGACGTAGATATAAAAAGTGATATGCATTGACAAACTTCCATAATATGTTTTAACAGTTAAACTGATTTAGGGACAATGAGAGGTACTGTAGCAGTTTATGTACTTTGTTATCGGATTGTATAAAGTTTACCTTAACTTGGAGTAGAGCGAGTGATACGTACATACAATAAATTTGGCAAATTTGTAGCATTACTTTCAATTCTGATATTTTTCTTTTGAAGTAATTCTTGGCTGATTTTTGGAGATTGTATGGGTCATGTCTGGCTCTCAACGACAATATAACAATTGCTGTGTAAGAAGCTCATCTAACCATAGAGGTATCTTGAGGCTACTGTAAAGGTGGTACTTTTTGTATTAAGTATAAGGATACTGGTAGAAATTGTGAGTGACTAAGTTGTTGTCAGTGGATAAATTATTATGTTGGACCGAAAGTGAGGAGCACTTCAAAATGACTATCTTGAACTCTTCTGAACATATCTATAAGAAGTAAGAAAATGGAGGTTGATGCTGAGGCTGAGGCAAAACTCACTTCGAAAGTAAGTACAATTTTAAATAGAATAACTATACTGTTTAAATGAAAAAAAAAATGAAGATGTCTTTGGAATAGGTCAGATCGCAGATAAAAAATAAATCCAAATCTAGGACCTCTTGGCAAGTTATGACGAAATACCTGAAAGTAGTACCTTAAAGAAGTCAAATCGTATATGTTAATGTGATTTCATATTGAGTAGAACAGAACTTAATTACATGTGAACTTTATGAACTTTGAGTTAAGGGTCGTTGTATGTAGGCCAACTGTTATTATGCACTGTCTAGATTTTATCAAATTTTCTTCGACAAACGGTTGTATTTCCATATAATTATAATTATAATGTGCCTATATCATGGTCATGATGTGGTGTTATAATGTAGGCCTGCGTGTGCTTCTGTTTCGTACGAGTCTAACATGTAATCACAGCTGACCGAGCCATCACGTTTTCATTCCACAGATCAAATGAATGTTAAATTCGGTATGCCTTACAAGACTAATAATACAAAGCACCCCTTAGAAATGGTAGAGTCAATGTTACAGAACCCTTTCAAATGTTTAAAAACTCCAGGATCAACAGTTTGTTAAATGTTTTAGCGCCCTTTGATTGTTTATTGCTAGTACTGCTTTTTAGATTTTTTTTTTATACATAAGTGACCTCTTTTATTTCTTCAGCCTCTAAGGTCACTTATTCAAGTTCCTCTAAATTCCTCTAAAGTATACATTTTAAAATAATTTATAAATAATGATGTCCTTTACGTATTACATGGTATTTCCACAAAAAAAGGTTTCTATAAATAAATAACTAATCTTAATACATTTCCTTTTACAAAAACAAAATGTATTTCTGATTCTTTTTTCACATTTATTAGATTTTACAGTGATACCTCTTAGTAATACAATATCAAGAGACATCACTTCCAAATCGAATAAAATAAAATTCCAAAATGTATTCATCGTTTTAAAAAGTTAAATATGTACTTATGCTTTTCTTTCGTATAACAACATTTATCTGATTTTAGAGTATCAATCGATCAATGATAGAATATCACTAATACAACAAGGTCTCGAAAGCTCCGATGAGGGCAGTATAATAGAGGCAGTAGAGTACATTGGCCCTAAAAGCTAAAAAGCTCAATCAATCAACTGTGTATTAGAGCTCCTCTTCGGAGCTTACATGATCTATTAGTCATTTAGCCGAGTGTTTTTAGAGCTTCTCATCCGAGTTAATACAAATAAATATAATTAGCCCTAACGGCTGCCCTTACGCAAAAAGAATGAAAAAAAAAGATATATTAATCAATCAGCCGGGTATTCCTAGAACTAATCAATCAGACGAGTGTTTCTAGTAATAATAATTATAATAATAATAAAAATAATTGGCCCTAATACGGTAACAGAAAATCACCGCAACAAAGAAATAACCGCAAACAACAAAGAAACAGACAGACAACAAATTACAAACAAATCAAATCACCGATGTGTGCCCCGATTTCTGTTGAATTATATTAATATTAATTATTTAATATAGAATTTGCCCGCTTTGCAACTCTTATTTAATTGAAGATAAATTTCATTGTTTATGATGCATTATGTTTTGTTTAATAGACTAAGATTGTTTAAATAGACTAGATTTTTCAAGATCTTACTAGTACTATTTCACTGATGATCCATTCCTTAGTTTTTTTATTTGCGTAATCCTGCTAACAGACAGGCATACAGAGAGGGGTGATTACATAATAACCTCCTTTTCGGAGGTAAAAACACAACAAAATACAGAAAGACAGCTCACGAGTCTACCAAGCATACAATTTGTTTTACTTTATTACACTTTCTTTACTTGATTACTGTATCTTGTTACTGTTTAATGTGTTATTAAAATAACATATAAATAGATAAAGATGATAGACACTGATGCTGGTAATATTAACTTGTCACGTTAGTGCTGGAAAATGTAGATTTTGAGAAGATTATAGCACCTACAGTAGCAAGTTGAAACTTGACCTTCGTATCGCGTTGGATTGCTGCTACCAGTATATATATATATTTTTTTAAATTCTTTTCTTTGTTCAACAGAGCACGCACAAAGTATTCTTTGTGTTTAACTCTAACTGGAAGTCTTCTGGACTCGATAGCCAAATCGATATATAAATTATATTAGTGTGTGTGTCTATGCATGTATGTATTGTGTGTGTATGTATGTATATGTATGCATGTGTGTATATATATATATATATATATATATATGTATATATGTATATATATGTGTGTATATATATATTTGTGTGTATGTGTATATGTATGTGTGTGTGTATAAGTGTATGTATTAACCTACTTACTTATATTATTAGTATTAGTATTTATTTTTACCTCTATTACTATTTTTGTAAACCCTTAAAAAAAAAATATATATTTCGTTCTACCGCAGTATTTTCTTATTATATTTTATCACAGTAATTAAGTTTTTACTGATTTTGTTATTGTTGCACGTCTTTACGGCTGTGCCTCTGTTATAAAAGAGAAGCAATAAAGTTACTTACTAAGTTACTTACTTACTTACTTACTACTGGAGATTTTGCATTTGAAAGCCCATGTCGGTTTGAATCAACGCTATGTTTGAGAGGTTTAACATAAAAAATCCATGTCATTGAATCAAATACGTATGCTATAGTGAAAGGCATACTGTAATTCCCCCAAAGTAACATTTCTTTTAAAGACCAATTCGTTACTCCTTCCTTATTCCCCTGAAGGCATTAGTGAGGTGGCCACTATTTAACAACAACAAATCTCCTGGTATTGACGGATTTCATACTAAAGTTATTTTACTTTGAATTGAATAATCAGCTTAATTATAAACAGTAATTAACATTGTGTGGTTTCACGTGTGTTTCCGAACGATAATAAATAATATAGGTAACGGACCATGTGTGGACTCCAGAAAAACATCGGAGAAAACCAATATTTCGACATATCCTATAGGTCTTTATCAAGGTACATGAAGAAAACTAGCAAAAGTTTGTAGGCCTAACACTTAACCACTATGTAGTTGGAAAAATTAAGTAATAAACAATGCGGAATATAATAATGATAATGATAATAATAATAATAATAATAATAATAATAATAATAATAATAATAATAATAATAATAATAATCATAATAATCATAATAATAATAATAATAAACAATGTAAATCAGGTATTGGCCTACACCCTAAAAACTGTTTGTAATGAGAAGGGAGATATTATAGACGTTCCCACCGTAGTCGGCATATCCTGTTGGTATTCGACCAGTTTATCGAAATCCAGTTTGCTGAAACCCATGAGTGCACTGTAAAAAAAATCTGTAATTTTACAGAGAAAATTCGTCTGTAATTTGTTTTTACAGGTTTTTGCTCTTAAAAAAACATAAAAAATTTTAATTTTACATATTTGTGCGTATTTTAACAGGTTGTATCAGGTGGTGGGGTCAACATTCCTCCCCCGGGAAAATTTTGATTTCTAGA